AAGAAGAAGAAAATCTCCTGTACCATTCCTGTTCAGAGGGGGTTAACTTCAAAGTAAACACATACATTAAGTAAACATAGATTACAGCAGAGGTTGCAAGACTACGTTTTCTAAGGAGATATATTACCTTATGAGGGGACCCAGTGTGCCAGACCGCCCACAACTACCTGCTGCTGTGCACCTACTCCCGGCTCAGAGTGTAACTAGTGGGAGGTAGGGTGATAAATCAGACCTCCCAGGACGTTGTCTTAACGCTCTTATCCTTTAGCCCCAGGTAGTAATGCAAGTGTAAACCACAGTCAACATATGACTTTGGACAAAGGCCTATGGCACTGGTGCTGACCTGTGGGTTAATAGAAATGTTGTCAGGCTCTAATATCCAGTCAGCCATAAGGGATAAGAGAAAAGAGAGAGGAGAGGAGAGGAGAGGAGAGGAGAGGAGAGGAGAGGAGAGGAGAGGAGAGGAGAGGATCAAGGACATTAAAGTAGCAATGAATGAGCTGAGTAAGCATCAAAATAAGGAGGTTTTGGTACTGTACTGTACTGTACTGTGTTAGAGAATTTTTCCAAGATATGACCCTTATATTAAGGCAGCACTGCTGCACAATGAACCTGGTTAGCGTAAGAAAAAAGCAGGAGCAATAATAGATAATGAAAGCACCATGTGCAAAATTATTTCAGCAGAAGGGAGTAGATCCTGAAGACTGGCAGAGACAAGTCGAGACAGACAAAAAATAAGGCAAGACAGCAGACAATGAGGGGGAGCAGGCAGATAGCACCATTCTCCTCTCGTAGTTCACATCTGAATTTTCAATTCTGTTTGAATAGTAGTGGTGAACAAAGAAAATCTGATATACCGTACAACCAATAAAGGCACTTGCCAAAATTCATCAGCTCTCCAACCCTGCCAACCCATTATCTCCTGTCTGTTCATTGCAGAGAACAGATCTGCTAATCGCCGGGCACTCTACACCATAATCAAGCTTCCTTTGCAGCAAATAATGGAATTCCTCTGTCTAAATATTGACCCGTTTCTTATGCAACCTATCTATATAAACATCTATCTTTATATCTATCCAACTAGTTAAAAAAGCATGAAAAAGCAGTGTGAGCAGTTTTAATTAAATTCCAAGGACTTTAATTATGTGTAATGAAGAGGGAAAGGTCATTCAACTATTGCTGACATTACTGATCTCTGTCATGTGAGGACCACACAATGTATTCAGTAAAGGGTGTGTGTGTGTGTGTGTGTGTGTGTGTGTGTGTGTGTGTGTGTGTGTGTGTGTGTGTGTGTGTGTGTGTGTGTGTGTGTGTGCGTGTGTGTGCGCGTGCATGCGTGTCTACATGCACCTGTGACTGCAGTGAACAAAAAAATAAAGCAAAGTGATATAGAGTAGGGGGAGGATAGTACGTGCCTGATTCGGGGAGTTGAAAGATTATAATCAACCCCTAAAATAATGCTTCAGTCTCCTCCTATGACCATCCTCTGTGCCCCTCCAACATTGCCTAAGAGCCAGCGATAAATTATGGATGCTTATTAGAAAAGGGCAATATTCGGCATACAGAATAAACGCAGCAGCAAGACACATAAAAGAGACACAAACAAAAAGTGCTGATGAGGGAAGAGGGAGAGCTAAAGTCACAGGGGAGCTTGTGGCCATACAGGCCAGTGAAACCTGGAGAGATCTCTTTCTAGGTCACCGGCTCTCCACCCATGTGCCATGGCAGGCTAATGTACCGCAGCGAGTTCAGCTCCACATTACAGTAAGATGCTGTTCAAATGTTGGTTGCTTCTCTAAACCACACAGACTGCAAATAAAAACTGGTAATGCATTCCTGGTCTTTCATTATTATTATGGACAGCAGCGTCAGAGATGAAAATTGTGTGCACTTTGTAGGCATATCAAACTTTTGCTCCTTTCTGCATCTCTTGTGGTGCTTTGTTCTCAGGCCGGTGGCAAAAAATCTCGTTCAAATCTAAAGCGAGAACAACGTTGAGCTAAATCATTGATTGGAGTTCATTAAATTGCCTGTTAACAAGTACAAAATTAAGCATCATATTGCAATCTAATGCAGTCTGGATTCCATCTACGGTTCCCGCTAATGGTTTCGTGTGACTTTGTCGAGCAATCAATAATTTGGTGCCCCATGTGAACTCTGTTGCTTCACAGAGTTTGATGTGATGCGGCACCACCACTGATGGGGAGACAGTTGTTCCTGGTACACTTTGTCAGTACTGATTTCCCGACTGTGGCCTTCAGATGAGGAGTCACATCCTGCAAGACTTTTCTAAATCTCAACTAATCCTTGTGTTGAGAGTGACACACCATCCAGGAAATTGCAGTTTATCCATATTATATGAAACTTAGATAACACTATAGAAGTGTGCATGGATGTTTGTAACAAAGCCTCCTCTTCCATAAAATAACACAGAGTAAAGAGGAAAGAAGAGAAAAGGGCAGGCATCTATGAAAACACCTTAGAGTTGTCATCACTAATCCCTAATTGGGGGAAAACATGTCGTGCAGCTTCTCCTTTCTCTTTTGAAAACAGCATTGCTTTTCTGGGCACACATGTCCGTCCAATTGCTATTTGATGGACAGGTGTTATGAGATTACTGACAGCCTATCAGAATTCACAGAAGTACAATCAATACTACACTGTTGCAAGAGAAACTGACTGATCCACATGTCCCTGCTGAGCCAGCAAACTGTTGCAATGGCAAGGAAAGTGTGTCTGCTGCACAAACACGTCCCACTCAAACACACACTCTCGCAAAGTCTCACAGGTTTACAGATACACACACATCTCCTATTCGTGCATTCAGTCAGCACATGGACTCACACTCACATACTGGAGCACAAACACCTGCACGCACGGACTCACAGGCTTTAGCTGACAAAAGTGCACGCATCCAAACACACCCCTGAGAAGGCTACAGTAAATGAACCTCACAGCCATCCAAAGTGCTGACATCAATCAGGCACGCTTACACTGTTTGGCTCCCGACGGACAGTGAGTCGCATCTGTCTGCAAGAGCAAGTGCTAAACAATTCCAAAGAGAAGCAAGCCATTTTCTGCATTTCTGCATATGCAGGGAGCTAGCAAGCCAGCCAAACTCGTTGGCTCTCCTCCAAATCGCCCCTACTCATTCTGTTTACAGCGCTTGTGAAAATTGTGAAATAATTTGTCCTTATTGAATTACTCTTTTTACTGCTTATTTACCTACATGAAAAAGTCGCAACATAGGTACACGCAGCAGATAAACACCCCCACAGAAGCCATCTGGGAATCTAGGGGCCTGCGAAAAGCTTGGCAGTATGATTTCCACAAAGCTTTGGGACTTTTGTTCCCTTAGCAGCGACTGAAAGGCAGCTGTTGCACATAAGAAAAATAACCTATAACACTGTGGGGAAAAACAACAAAATATCACTGCAGTCCCCACTGCTGGCACTGAATGTGTACCTTTCTCGCTCAACCCACTGCATATTTGTGACAGAGCCCATGAGGCAGGGATGCACAAATTCTTCATGACAATCAGTGTATCACCCCATAGACAGCCCGAAACTGTTTCATACAGTTTTATTATAAAGAAAAATAAACGAGGACAAGAATGCACAAGGGCAAACTGGAAATGTGAGCCTTCTGCAGGACAGCATAACTAGATCAGAGGGGTTTATGCATGAGGATACAACTGATGACAAAAATAGACAAACATTCCTATAAAATGATTGCTGGCGTTGAGCATAGTTCAAATCTGGACAACATGCAAGTCCTTATGTGATATTTAAAGTAAAGGACATGACAGTGTCTTAATCCTTTCTTGATCAAAGCAGGTAAAGCTACACCTGCACGAAAAAATATATCTTGGAGAAGAAAATGTGAAAACCTAGACATTCTTTGTATTTGTATTTCTTTTTTAAAACAGAAACAATTGACCTCTTGAGATCTCACCCAGTACTGTTTCAACGCTTGAAAATGTGCAAATTGGTGGTTAAAAAAATATGCATGGATGCCAAGAAAACCAATATTAAAATGATCCATGTAAATTGGTTGTAATTTACAATAATATTGACAAGCCACCTGCAGTACGAGTCTACATGGGTCTACATGCTTCAGCGCATGATAGATTGTCTGCACGTCACTGTGTGACAGCTGTCTGCGGGATTGCTTATGACAACAGCACTCCATGCTACTATGACTAAACAGACCTTGTTTTCAATGGCTGCCACATGCCTTAAAACATCAAAATCAAAGTATCAGAGCTGACAGATCAGTTTGTGTGTTTGACTTGCCCGAAGGGACAGCAGGAGGAGGATGCATACCTGGCCAACAGGCGTCTGTTGCAGAAGAAACTGAGCCTCTAAAGTACAGTGAGAAGACTCTTAAGAGGGGATAGATGTGCGCTTCATCCTCAAAACCCCAATCAGGACGAGCCTCTTCTATGAGAGCTCTGCCAGGTTTAACCAGCTTGTGTGTGTGTGTGTGCTTAAGTTAAATACTGGCCAAACTCTGACCTCCCTTCAGCAATAACCATAATACTTAAAGAATAATTTTGAGTTTGATTACACTTTGTGTAATGAAGAACTAATCCGTGGGCCTAATGGAAATTGACCATGAAGATTTATATCAACCTAAAAAAAGGAATTAGATTGGATTTACAGTAGGTGGGTTTCCCCTCCACCACATTGCTGGATGTTTTCCCAGCCGCCTCCTGTGACTTCTAAGAAGTAATATCTCCCTTTCAAGTTAATTTGCTGTCGATCTCCCTGAAGCTGTTCGTGCAGTGGTTTAAACACCAGTTATTACAATGCCTCCCATTTGCTCGTCGCACTGAAAAGGCGTACAATATGTGGCACGGAGAAGCCCTTAATTAAGGTTATGGGCTAATAATTGAACAAATTAACATTTCTCCTGCTGCGACTGAGCTCAGTAAGGCTGCACCAATTATGTATGCATTATTGTAATAATGGGAATACATTCATAAATAGCAGTCTTACCGTAAACTCCTTGGCCCCAGGCAAGAGGACAGACACTAGAAAATAACAAAATCCAGAAAAGCTCCATGTTCAGCTCAGTTCCGTCATAACCTGAGGAACAAACACATACACACACAGGGTGAAAACAGAGAAGGACGCAGCCTGTAAATCTGTGTGAGAAACAAGAGGTGACAGCTGAGTGGTAGTTATCAAAAAGGAAGAAGCGGCTCTTTCAATTGTTTTTCTCGTGTTCAGAAATGTCCCCTTTACCCTCTTAAGCCGTGGAAATAATATTACAAAGCAATTTGGCCGCAGCTGCCACAGACTACATTATTTGACTCAACTTAAAGGACGTGTAATTGAATCACAATTTTGGTAGATTAAAGAAATGTAAAAGTCCATCTGTGTGTGTGTGTGTGTGTGTGTGTGTGTGTGTGTGTGTGTGTGTGTGTGTGTGTGTGTTTGTGTGTGTGTGTGTGTGTATGTGTGTGTGTGCGCGTGTGTGTGCGCGTGTGTTGGAAATTGGAGATTGACAGGATTGTCTACAGTTTAGCGTGACTAAACTCTTCATCCCTCTTCTCACTCAAGGGGGAGATGAGGGTGGGTGATGTGCTGAAGGGGGGGGGGGTGTTATGAAGGTGTGGTAAGGACAGGAGAAATCAAAGGATTACAAAGAAGAATTCATGGAGGATTACCAACAACAAGTAGGGTCATGCTCTTAAGACCCCACCCACACATACACACACCTCCGTTTGATTCAGATCAATAGAACCACTATCAGTGTTTCTGAGTGTGATAGGTCTGTTAAAAAAAAATCACTTTGGGTAGATTTTTTTATGTATATCTCGGCATAAAGGTTGGTGTTATTTCTCTGCACTTTTTTATAACCTGTGAAGACCTTTGAAAATGTTAAAAGCTTCAGGAGTCAGGAGCTAATGAACCCTCTGACGTGACTCCTCTGACAGAACATGAGGATTTCCTCCGCCGACTGGCCCTCACATTTCTAGGCTGACTGTAAGCCGGCTGTATTGACAGCTTGTATTATACAGCGCGCTGTGATCAAAGTTTTATTATATGGAGCATCAGAGTTAACACGCTGCATTAAATGTCAGGATGCGCTGCATGACACTTGTTTAAACGGACGTGTTGTGTAGTAGAACGGTCCTAAAAGAGGTGATGCTCATTACAGGAGGGCGAGAATGTAGACCAAACAGACGGATAACACCAGTCAAGCAGATCAGAGCCCGAGTGCGTTTTTTTTCTGATGAAGGAATAAAATGGAATAGTATTTCTGTGTTAAGTGGTTCGCGAAACTCACATTGCATTCTAAAAAATCCACAAAGAGATGATGAACATCACTGTTTCGAAAAAGAAAAAAAAAATAGATGTCTGGGTACAGGTACGGAATCTCTGCAGCGGCTCTACCTTGTCTCCGAGGTTGCCGTCCTTTGGGTCAGTCTGCTACCCGGCGCAGCGCGCACTTCTCTCAGCTCAGCGAAGAGGATCACTCCGCTCTCCGTTAAACCAACCCGCCTCCGTCCGTGTCTCTCCAAAAAATGTCCTCAAAAGTTATATATTCTCCTCCAGTGGGCGTCCGATAAGAGCTTTACAACAATCCCGGAGAGTAATCGGAGAGTTTGCAGAGCCTCCACTCCTCTCCAATGATCTCCTTGCTGTTAAACTTTTATTTTACGCACGGGAAAAAAAAATGCCGCTAGGATCCACAAGAGAGTCCTTACTCCTGGGAGTAAAATACACTTTCCCTTACACTCAAGCAAGGTCAGTTTGCCAAAAATCCTATGCCCCGTTTCTTCTCGTTTGTACTGTCTACTTTTAAAGGCGTGTAGAGATGCTTTTTACTGTCAGTCCCTCTCTCTCTTTCTCTCTCTCTCTCTATCTGACCGGTGACAGTCTAAATAAAGTGAAGCCCCTGTAACACAATCACGCGCTCTGAAAATGAGCTCCCCTCAGCTCCTTCAATCAGCGCTGTGTCTGTGGACTCCAAGTGATGCTGGCCAAGTGGAATATGTGCGCTGACTGAGAACGACCGCCCCTGTCTGTGAAGAGAAAGAGAGAGAGAGAGAGAGAGGGGGAGAGAGAGGGAGAGAGGGGAGGACAGAGGCTTACACATAGATGCGCTCGTGCCTCATAGATCCACGGCGAACAGGTTGTCAGAAGAAGAGCATCTCTGCCCTCTCCCTTTCTCCAAATGCACCATGAAATATCAACGTGTTTGGGGCCACAGGATGTCTTTGAGAGAAAGTTGGTGCAGCAGCGGTGTTTTTATTTTATTTGGGGTTTTTTTTACTCTCTGGCGGAGTTCGCCAGCTGCGGTGCCACCACTCGTCTGTGCCAATTAGAACTGAAAGGCGCTCCGAAAGTTTTTGGCCTAATGGATGAGATTCCATCACCCCCACCCCCTCCCCGTGGACCAATTATTTATGACAGGGAAAAAAGACTGACTGTTGAACAAACCCATTCCCACACACACACTCTCTCTCTCTCTCCTACCCAGATAGCCCACACAAACTAACAGCGGCTCCCCTCCCTCTATCCCCCTCCGTGCTCCTCACTCACATGCATCAGAGTTGTGCCTGCGCGCTTCTGAGTTTCTAAGCGTTGCCACAAGGGGGCGATATTAGGGTCATTACCACTTTTGGAATGGAGGATTGTGTGTGTGTGTGTGTGTGTGTGTGTGTGTGTGTGTGTGTGTGTGTGTGTGTGTGTGTGTGTGTGTGTGTGTGTGTGTGTGTGTGTGTGTGTGTGTGTGTGTCTGACTGTTAGGTGATGAGGTTTAAAATCAGCCTCCTGTGTAAAGGGCTCTTGTATTTCTGGCCTCGCAATCGAGATGTTGGTTTCTCTGTGCGCAGCTGGACTGAATGAGACATCAAAGAGCAGCTAATCAGAGTAAAGCAAGAAATCTGAAAAAAGTGTGTATTTAAATGTAATCTCATTCATGTAATAAAGCAGTCACACAAAATGTCCTCCCGATTTTAATATTTCAAAAATTGTAAGAGGTGTTGGTTATTGATGTTTTCTTGACTTTTTCCTCCGCTAACGGTTTTAAGTGATAAGGGGAAGTAGAGAAAGAAGAAAAAGCAGAGGAAGAACAGGAGACATCTATATTTAAAGCTAATCAAGGGATAAGAGTTGAAAGCTAGAAAAAGCTTTAAATTATCTGTTTCATGCTCTGTATTTTATTACATCATCCCTAATTGACATCAGTCAGACTGATGGATGGCTTAGATTAATTTATATGTACGTCTATAAGAACGGGTTGTATTGATCTGGGTTTTTTTTAATGATGGTTCTTCTCCCATTTAAAAACTGTGCAACAGTGAAATAAATCAAATTTTTTAACCTTGAGTATCTAATGCAGATGAATATCTGTGTGACAAATGTTTAGTCTGAAGTACTGAGTGGGTGGTCATGTTGCATATGATAACACCATGTGGTTATATGTATCCCACTTTACATCACAATCTCAGCACATAATGCAACCTAAAATAAAGCTCACAGACCTTTCACCTCTGCCTGTGAATCACTTCACTTGTCATGGTTTATTATTTTTTTCCAACGTAAGAATAAAATAATTGGGTGACTTGTATCTAACTTGACTGGAGATCTGCAGAAATCATAATCACCTACAGTCAGTGTCTGATTGATTTGTGGAACTTAGCAAATAGAGTCTAGGTAGTGTCAGACAGGATGGATTAATCAACTCACCTACTGGGCACTGCAGAGCCCAAAGGAATTAAGAGTCAACAAACAATGAAAAAAAAAAACTTAAAGGACCAACATGTGATTCTGAAACCTGGTGTTTACATTGGGTACTGCAGTCCAAATTCAAAACGTTGGAGCCATCTTCCTCGTCCTCCTCCACCCTAGACTCGAGGTGCATGCAGGTTGCCATGCCATGACAACCTTTCTGTGTTTTAAGCCTAAATTTTTCTAAATAATCTCCAATATTTATCCTAGAATTTACCAAGTTTCTGGTCGTGGAGCTTATTAGAAAAATGCAGATGTTTTTTTTTTTATGTCGGATAGAGTCAGTTATACCTGAGCCACTTTACTTGCCCACTTTCATCGCTGCAACACCTTTTGGTTTGCCGTTTGGGAGTGGGAGTGTCCAAAATGGCTGTGCTGGGGGCGCTTTAAGACCGCCTTCCTTCTCTGGTCAAAATTAGAAACAAACCGTTCTGCACAGATTGGACCTTTAAGAAAGATGCAAAACAAATAAATAAACTGACAAGTAGAGAAACAAACCTGACGAAAGGACAGAAAAAGAAACAACTACAAAGTGACACAAAACAACAGAATCTCATAACAACTACAGAAACCTGCCACAAAGAGGCATCATTATTATTACAAGTAGTTCAAGTGAAACAACAGCACAAGGGCACAAAAGACTTACAAACAACACAACTGCAAGCCTGTCAACAGATATGTGGCCAGGGTCCTATTGTGTTATAAGCCGCCTGTGCCCTCCAGCTGTTGACCTGCTCCACAGCTGCAACTGCAGATTCTGTGCTTTGCTGAAAGGAACTGAAGTAGCTGACGCATTAAACATGTAGTACCTTTTTTTTTCTTCATTTCGTTCAGCTGCCAACATTTCCCACAAATAGTCTGGGATTAGAACCAGCAACCAGTCAAACGTACATCTGTCTACAGGCAGGCTATCGAAGCCTCTGATGTTAAACTTCAAAGTGGTCTGTGCTGCTGTACTCTGAATGCCTTCTTCACTGACTTCTTCATTCTGCTGAGACAGCTGATGTAAATAATCCCACATGACAGCTTGAAATACACTTTCTAGATGTACACTTTTACTAATCATTCATTTTGCCTCAGCTTTCCTTTCCATGTTGCTACCATCAGTAAATTTCCCCTTCATTCTTGTCATGATAAAGAGATAATTTAAAGAAACTTGACTGGACTTTTTTGTTATCCATCTTAATTAAAATGATGATCACTGAGAAGAAAGGTTTTTAAAGGGCACACATTAAAACCTAGATCTTCCTGTGAATGACATTGCCTAACATTTGTACACTTCAATCAATTCTGGGCAAATCGGGCGGTAAACATTCAGGGTTTTCATCTGGCATTCCTCAACAGAATCAAGACACTCAGCAATTACTTAGCTCCCTGGATCCAAATGAATCTTTCATTCGGAGTAAACAAAATCATGGGATCTGACTCAAGAATCTGTCTCTCTCCTTCCTTCCTTTCCTTTCCTTTTTGCGCCTCGTCCTGGGCTGCAGCCAGCAGTCTTGGCATGTCTTGCTGAGAGCACATCATCACTGCTTAAGGCAATGAATCTCAAAAGACAACATGTTGTACGAACAACCTTGGGTGCTAGCACACACACACACACACACACACACACACACACACACACACACACACACACACACTGAGCCTACTACATGAAACCATGTTTTTTCAAAGAACTGTAGAAGGCTTCTGAGCAAAGCAATAATTGTAGTGGGTGTAGTGGGCCAACAAAGAAGTGAGCACAGACAACAACAAAATACTACACTTGCCAAACTCCCTATTTGGACTCTACTGCACTATGCGCACACACACACACACACACACACACACACCACACACCACACACACACACACCACACACACACACACACACACACACACACACACACACACACACACACACACACACACACACACACACACACACACACACACACACACACACACACACACACACACACTGAATTGTAGGAGCCGCACAATCACTGTGACAAGGACATGATCCCTTCATGTATTACAGGTGACTTACAAGGTACTTAATTAAGTCTTGTGTACCTTTAAGGTGCTGAGGACTACTGCTAGGAAACAATGCATTGATGCATTTTCCTTCTCCAAAGCACTTTGTAAAGCTGTTTTTAACTTGACATTGTTTACCTCCAAGGTCAATCATCTAGCTGTCCTCTTCCTCTCCGACTTTGCTGGCACATTGCTGCACTTCTTGGCATTTAACTGCAATCTGTTTATCTTTGAAAAAAAAACACAAAATCAGTCATGAGAAGAATAACAAAAGACATTCTAAGAAAAATCCAACACTCTCCGTGAGTGTGTACTTTAGCTTGGCTACTTTATTTAATTGGAAGACATGAGAAAAGTATTGTCTTAAGAAAACAAATTGGTTTTGTTAGAATACCTGGGTCTGAGCAGCAGTGTGTTTTCTCTCGTATACTCTGGGGAAGCATTAGTCATAGACAGCTGGAAAGCAGAACAAATATATTGATAACACTACAGCGAGCCAATTTGACAAAGCATTGATGGCAACATTAACCATGTTAAATCACCTTTCTCTGACATTCTTAGGCAACAAATACAAAAACATAAGCTTTTGTAAACACTTGGCAAATGTGCATTAAGTGGACGGGCAACTTCCAAGCAGTTAGGTGGGTAGGAACTTTGACAGGCAGGTACACAATGCAATCCCTCAATCAGTCAGAATTAAAAAACAAAAAGTGGACACACTTAATACAATCCTGCATCATTCATTAGTTGTACTTGTAAATTCTGTTTTTAAAGTTTTATAGTTATCATTACTGAGGAAATCAGTCAGAAAATGTAGTCATATAACAATATCTTTATTTGTTGATTCTAAAGGCATTGAATTAGGTTATGGTGAGTTCATTTTATTGAGTGATGTATGTGAATATTTTGTCAATTCCATTTGCATACGTGAAAGGAGCAGAATATTTGAAATGCCTTTAAACTAAATCATTTCAGTACAGTAGAGCTACACTGGTCACAAAAATATCGATAACAAACATGAAGTAGAGCTATAACCTTTCCAGTGTTCTCAAAAACTTAACTCTGAAAAGTAGAAGTCGAGCGGTTTTATTTTTATCGTATTACATTGAACTTTTATACTTGTGAATAATTATCCTGCAGCTAACAAGCATGATGACTAGAAAATCCCTTCTGGTGTCTCTAAATGAACTTTGTCTCCTTCTCTGACTCTTAT